GACAGCACACTATAACACAACGTGACGAGACCACACTATAACACAACGTGACGAGACCACACTATAACACAGCGTGACGAGACCACACTATAACACAACGTGACGAGACCACACTATAACACAACGTGATGGGACAGCACACTATAGCACCACGTGACGGGACAGCACACTATAGCACCACGTGACGGGACAGCACACTATAGCACCATGTGACGGGACAGCACAGTATAACATAATGTGATGCGCCAGCACAGTATAGCACAACGTGACACTACAGCACAGTATAGCACAACGTGACACAACAACGTATCACAACATGACACGGTGTTGCAGAATAGGAAATCAGTTAAGGTTGCACTCATGGGTTTCGGCTTAAAGCCCTGTGTTATCCGTGTCTGGGCTACATCATTAACCAAGAACAAGTGGGATTCCCCGAGTATCTTAATGGACTTTATTGTGGTGCACAGAACTGTAAAAGTGCTGTGAAAGTATGGAAGAAATCTGAAACAATTCAGCATTTTACCCACTGAATGCCATGTTCATAAAGCTGCTGGATTAGATGCTTGTAGAGCAGTTACAGTGTATAGTACAGTACCTACTTTATATAGACTATATAGTAATAACTTTGAGCTTAGTTGAAATATTTCACTTTTCTTTTTTTTATCCATAGATAGGATATTTTTAAAACAGTGGGTGTTAAATTGTTGGAGAAGGAAAAAAAACTGAATGTCACAGCAAGGGTGAGGATTATTATATTCTCTACTGAACCATTACCCTCTGAATTACTAATGCGGGGAGAAGAGACCCAGCCAAGACTCTTAGCTGTATTATTATTATATTAAAAATAAAAAGGATTTTGCCGCAAAGGTTATGCCTGCAGGGCCTCTTAGGTCTTTAACTGGTAAGGTGTCTGAGCTGAGGGCATGTATTCACAGAGAGGGTAGAATTTAATTAGCTGGTGAAGGAAGCATTATCATTGGCACTCTCACGCTCTGAATATTCGGCAGGGGCTGTGCCATCTGCCCAGTGTAATTGAGTCACTGGGGTCTTGGAGAGCCAGAGAGAGAAGCGCTTGGCCTGGGAAGTGAAGCTGAGTTTTAAAGAAGGAAGCAGCCTTTAAAGAGTGCGGCAACTGTCAGTCAAGAGGGGACACGCATTAAATCAGCTCCCCTGAGCTCTGTGAGCGTACCCCTTCTTACACCCCAGGGAGCTATGCAAAACAGGGCCACTCTCAGGGATCGGCCTTCTTGACCTTCAGGGGGCAAGGAGGGGGCTGGAGACTAACATGTTACATTTCCAGGTAAGCAGCATAGTTCCCTGCTGTCTTGGCTGTCTCCCTAGCTACATATCTCTAAAGCTGTGATGCCCAGAGGGACGTGGCTCACTCCAAATCCAGGAGAGCCAAAGAGTGTAGTACATTTCTGCCCACCTGAGTTCCTGATGGCTTCATTGAATCAGTTACTGACTTAATTGGTATAAAATCAACTAATTCCAGGTCCTCAGCTCTACTGAGGATTTGAAGATCTCTGTAAGGCTTGCAGGGCATTAACCCTCCAAGAGTCAGGAGTGAGCATCTCTTCTCTTCACGCATCTATTCTGTTTTAAATGTGTACAGTTTTTCCTACTTTGGATTATGTGCTTTTCGATATGCATAACAATGTAAAGGGAATAACTGTGTTAGTAGTGGGTAGAGGAAGCCATTGCAGAGGCATGTGTTGCAGTGTATTAGACAGGGTTTTTTGCTAGCTGGAGAGCACAGAGCCATTCTTTTACTGGTATATTTATTTTCAGTTGCCTCAAAATGAATATATAGTAATAAGAAGAAACTGGAGGTAAAGAATGTAACCGGTTGCTGGAATATTTTTTAGTAATAAAATGAAAAACAAGCCCAGACAGAAATACAAACCTTATTTCTTACTTTCACAATGATATACTAAACACAAAGTAAAGGAATAGAAGCTGTTGGAGGGGCAGGGACTAGCATACTGTATGTGAGCAGTGTATTCCTCCCCTGGTTGGAAGCTGCAGTTACATGTCAATCTCCTGAGTTGAAAAGCCAAAGTTATTTGAAGACACTTTGAGTTTTTTTTCCTTTTCTGTTTCCGTCGGTTTCTAAAGGAACAGCTGCCTCTAGCCATTAGGCTCAGAGTGTTATGTGCCCATTCATTTTCTGCTGAAAATAAAAGGGGCTGAAAAATTCATTTTGCCAATTAATTTGAATCTTCAGATTAATTTTCACACTTAATGAAGTGTGACACTTAGTTTAAAGAGTCTTTCAGGAAAATGACAAGGTCCTTTGACCTCTGCCACCCAGTGTAATTCTGTGCTCTCTTTTGATGTTTGGGGATCTGCGTCCTTCTCTGCCCCCTCCTCACGACATTGTAATCTCCAGTTTGAAATTAACTTTGTGAATTTTGTAGGTTTAATTCAAAGGTATTTGATTAGTGGCATCTTAATGGTTGTTCTGCACTCAGAGATTTTCCAGTCAAAGGAAATTTCAAATGAGGCCCAGACAGACGAGGCTCATTTTCCAAACGAGCACAATCTTAAAAGGATCTTGTGTGCTGTAATGTGCCGTGCGTCTGCCCCTCTGGGGGCTGGCAGGGCCTGGCAGACACAGAGGGGGTTCGGCCGGAATCACGCTCCCCGCTCTTGTAACTGGGAGTCCCTCCAGACCCGCCGAGCTCGGCGCATTTAATCTGTTGCTGAAAGAGAATGAGAGAAGAGGAGGTGGACTGACAGGCTCACTGCATCTTCAGAACTTTTAATGAAGAGATCGAGCTGGAGCTATTGCAGTACAGTATATAATCCCCGTAATGAGGGTTTGAAGAGAGAAACAAAAACAAAGGGTATTTCCTACTATTAGACAAGGGATTCTTTCTCTTAGATATACATGTTACAGTGTTTTGGTTATGGTGATAGGAAACGTTTTGTATTAAATAAAATGCAGTACAAAACAAAATCTCAGAATATATTCAAATAGAAACTAATGTACAGAACACAGAGAATACTTTTGCGGGCCAGAAAAAAAAAACATTTGTGGAAAATGCTAATCAAGCAGAATGTTTTCATTCTGAAATCGCATTTAGGAAACATGCCTCAACAAACTGGAGGAAATGCAGATGGTAGGCACTTCTAATAAGGCTGTGCTCACTCTCCATGCAAGGCCGCTGCCTGTGTGTTTTCCCCTGAGCAGGGAGACAGCAGCACGCAGTGGCCTGAGAGCAGGCTGAGCCTCCCTGTCGGATTGATCTCCTCTCTTTGTGCGACAGGAGCTGCTCCTCGGAGATAAACATGCAGCTCAGAGAGGTGGCCAGCCGGAGTGAGGGACTCTTTAACAGGGGCTCCTTCTGGAGAGCTCTTTTCGGCTTTTGCGTATGACTTATTAGAGCTAACCCTGATAACTTGCTTGCAGTATTTTCTCGTCCTGATCCATGCAAAATTTGTACCATTCTGTCTTCTCCTTTTACTTTACTAGAACCGTATAATACTGTGATTTACTGTGTAGTAGTGCCGACTGTAGTGGTAGTACACAGAACACCAGCAGTTTCCAGTCCTGGTCCTGGTGACCCGCACGCCTGCTGGTTTTCATTCCTTAGATCACTGAAGCCTTAATTGATTTAAGAAGTTTCTTCATCGGAATATTTGCATTTTGTTTCCCGTCAAACGTTCACTTGAAACATACGATGGTGAAGCGTCCAACATGTCAAATAAATGTTATCGTAATTAAGGGTTTGATTGTGTAACTGAGGGCTCGTTGATATTGTAACGAGGATGTCGATATCATAATCTGTTAATTCAGGTAGTGAAAAATATACATTGTAAAAATTCAGGGGAAACCATGGCAGAATTGTCTCATAAGGACTAACCCAAGGCCTCAACCTTTGAGCCCTAGTTGCCTTATGAATGAAATCACTCAAAGGCACATGTCGTGTCTCCCTGCAGGGATCCACTGTGACAACGTGTGTATCCAGGGCCGATGGGGGCCCAACTGCTCTGTGTCCTGTAACTGCGACAATGGGGGCTCATGCTCACCTGAGGACGGCACCTGCGAGTGTGCACCTGGCTACCGCGGGACATCCTGCCAGAGAAGTAAGAGAGCAGTATCATCACAGCCAGGTCAACGGCTGACAAAAAGCTGCAGTCTCAACGGCGATCTGTGTTTATCTTTAGAAGCTAAGACCATAAACAAGACAGAGTTTGTCCACAAGATTAATTGTGTCTCCAAGATTAGCCTATTACCTTAATTACAAAAGCTAACAGCGGGCAAAAACAGGTCAACTAGAAAAACACCACACCACCATTAAAGCCTACATCAATTAAAGCTTGTTATGAGCTTAATGAAGAAAGATGGCTTTGCAGTGAGAAAGGGAGACAGGGCTGTGTCCAGCAGTGTAGACCTGACAGATCTCCTGACACTAAAAGTAATGGGAAATGCCACACGAAAGCCTTTCATCGTTGTTTGTCAAGCTGAAATGAATACAGCCCAGTCATGCTTTACAAGAAAACTATCCATTTCAGTTCTGTTTCCCTAAAAATGTTCTGTACCTTCTCCCCAACTCTCCTGTCCTGTCACTCCTCTTCTGTCCCGTTTCCTTCTTTCTGTTGTCCCTGATTTCACTCTTCCCCTCTCTTTCTCCCCTGCTCTTTCTCTTTCTGTCCAAAGTCTGCTCCCCTGGCTTCTATGGGCAGTGGTGCAGCCAGGCGTGCCCGCAGTGTGTTCACAGCACCGGCCCATGCCACCACATCACCGGGCACTGCGAGTGTCTCCCTGGCTTCTTCGGCTCTCTCTGTAACCAAGGTGGGTGTCGCCTGCCCGCAGAGCCCTCCTGCCCGCAGCCTGCCAGCCTGCCAGCCGGCCTCAACTCTGCCCGGCTCGCAGGCTGTCTGCAGAGCAGGGAACCTGAATATGTCTGATCACGTCCGTCGGTGCTGTGAGGTCAGATCATCAGCACACCTCATTACAGCAGCTACACACCTTACAGAAAGTGACGTTCTCTGGTTTTTCTGGAGAATGAAGTTTTTTGCTGGCTGTAGACAATTTAAGGCAGTCCATTTGGAACAGTAGGGTTTGCAGTCATCCATCTTATAAGACTTCAATGCCCCATTCTGAAGTGACTTATTTGTGCTTCATTATTTCTTGAAAAATAAATTCTGATGTACAGACTCAGCTGCATGTTTTATTTATTTATGTGTGTATACAGTAAGTCATTGCCCTTTAGGTTAAACATATTATGATTTTTACAAAGGTATTTCTAATTTCTCATTGGGTGCTGTTACAGTAGGGCCTTTGCACGGTAAAAATCTATCCCGTACAGAAAACAGGTTCGGATAACACAGGTTTATGCATGTGTCACTGCCGGCTTATTTCAAGAGGCTGTGTCTAAATCTAAGAGGTCTTAACTGACCGGTGAGGATGTCTGATGAACTGTGGTGCCCAGTTCTGTGTCTATAAGAGTCAGTTCACGGGGCTGGCACACACAGATCTCCACACCACACCACAGTAAGGAGCCTTCAGGGTTTCAGTCTAATGACTGCCTTCTTTCCAAGCTGCACACCCAGAGCAAGGGAGACTTGTTAAAAAGAGATAAAACATAGACAGCACTTAACAGTAATTAACTGGACTTCGCATGAATTAAGAAATAGCAGGACAGAATATCTCAAATTCATTTTTATTAACTTGAAAGCCGACTTACTGTATATGTATAAAAAAAAATTAATAAGAAGAATTTTTAAAAAATCCTCCAGTAACTGTGCTGATTTTAATTACTTTGAAAAGGGAGAATCTTATCTCTAGCAGTGGTTACAATCTGATGATACCTTCCCTGTCAGGAGGGGAGGTGGTTTAGGTGTTAATGAATTACTCACCACAAAATGCTGTCCGGGATTTTAAGAACTCCTGCATGAGCCTGAAATGCAAATTGCCAGTTTTGAAGATGTTGGAAGAGCTTTAGGGGAGAAATGAGGAAAGAAGTTGTTGAAGTATAATAATAAATTACAATCAAAAATTTAATTACCATTTTGTCTCAAACAAGTGGCCTTTTCCAAACTCTGGAATTTCAACTTCTTAGCTTCTCTGATTCTGTTAAACACGGCACAGCAGGATTTCATTTTTTAAGTTTTTTTATTCTTAGATTTTCTGTGTGTCCCATTGTACGTCTAAAACAGATCATATTGAAACCTGGCTGAACTCAAATTCGTCTTAATCCCGCTGTCCAAAATCATGTACGATGTGTCTTACAGTGAGGTTTAATTTAAAATTAAAAATTTCATTTAACAGAATGTCACGAAGCATTAAAATATTAATTATATTAAAAATGTACACAAGCTCTATTTTAATTCTCTTCAATGTTATTTGGCTTGTCTGTGCAGTATCTAAGCAGCCAGGATTAACTGTACATATCCCAGTTATTAAACAGGACCTCTAAGATTAAGCACTGTGTTTCCTGGTTATCCACTAGAGTTGATAGGGTAATTTTCTCTTCAGCTGCTCTGGCTCGCATCTCACTGGGTTTGTTAAGAAGGGATGTGCATATCAAAGGCCTACTAAACTTGATCTTTTGAGTTGTTTTTTTTTATGGAGTTTTTTTCAGGAGGGATGACAGCAACCAAGTTCAATCAGACGTGGTTGTCAGTAATTAGCAATCACTCACAAAATACCTTGGTCCCTCCTCACTTCTCAAGCCATGGGTAGTGCAAGATGTCCAAACCCAGGAAGGGTAGCGTAGGGGACCCCTACACCCTACACTACTGGTATTTGGTGCAGCTCAACTCCTTGGTTAGAACCTTTGCAAAAAATGTTTTTCAACTTGGACATTAGAGATTTTAAATGATTGATGAGGCACGGTTAGTTCAAAGAGGACCCCCTTCACATTAAAGGTATAAAAACAATTAAAGAGCGCAAATAAAACCTAATATTAGGTCCGTCACAGGTCCCATTATTTAATGGAGTGCTCAGGTGGAACAGAAGCCAGCAGGGGTGTGGGTCCCCAGGTTGAGGACTGGAGCCCCTGGCAGAGAGCAACTCTGTCTCCGAACAGCAGAGTGAGGAGACGGTGGGCTGGTCCGCGTCACCTCTGCAGCCAGCGCTGGGCTCTCTGCAGCGGCTCTGTCCACTGCACCAGGGTCTGGGAGTTCAGTCCCGTGCTCTGTCCCCGCAGTGTGCGCCAGTGGCCGGTATGGGAGGAACTGTGCGGAAGTCTGCTCCTGCACCAACAACGGCACGTGCAATCCCATCGACGGCTCATGCCAGTGCTTTCCGGGCTGGATCGGGGACGACTGCTCTCAGGGTAACCTTCCGCTCCTCCGGCTCTTCTTCCACCCCGCTGCCTCCGCCATCGTCGCTTAACTCTCCTCTCGGGTGCCCCATGATCAATAAGAAAGGTCACGATCATCGCCGTATCACTGTTAATTCAGAGGCGCGTCGCCACTGATAAAAAGGAATATACGATGAAAAGTAAACAAAGACCTGTGGGCATCAAGTAGACACTACACCTACAGAAGTGAACCAACATGGGTGAACTTTACAGCTCAAAAAGCTTCTGAATCTTCTGGAAGGAGAACGGAGGCCCTCTGCCAGCTTGCTGAAAAGGGTGCTGTCACGATATTCACTTTGTCTTGACCACAGCACACTTGTGCTCATCACCGGGGCTACCCTTAGGCAAGCAGTCCGTGGTGAACTTGCACAACAGTTTTTCACTTCCAGCTTACACTACCACAAGCACTGTGCAACTGTACAGTTACCTGTAGGTGCCACTCTTATATAAAATGCACAGTGGTAAATGATAATTGTTTAGCATGTTTTATGCTCATGGAGAGGGTGGTAAAATAACAAAGAAAGCAAAGAGAAATTAGTTCTAAATGAAATCCAATGCAGAATTGGCACAGAGACTTTAGTGAGGGCAGGGCCCGTGAATATTTAATACTTCACACACAGACCCTTAATCAGAGCACTCCTGTGTCAGGACTGGTGATACAGCGAGGACAGCTGTGGCTGCCAGAGAGGCTCCTTTGCCCTGCGTCAGTGTGGTGTGACTGGCATGTCTTGATTACTGGGTGTCAGTTTTTTAATTCGCAGTGTAATTGAAGCCGGAATCTCTCTGGGAGGTAATATCATGTCTCTCCTCAATGTTACTTCACGCAGGAGCAAGAGGGACGCCCGCACAATGCAGCCATCACAGAAACTTATTTAAATTTGCTGATAGAAGATGAAAAAGATGGAGCAGCTGTAATTGGTTTTGTTATTTTGCTGTCTGGGGTGACTGCGGAATTGAAAAGCGTGTCGCTGTTAGAAGATATTTGGAAGTGTCTGAAAAACAGGGATGAAGCCAATAATTGCAGTCAGACAATATCTTAGGAAAATGCAAAGTTTCCTTATTTGATTTATAGTTAAAAAGAAAAAAGAAAAACTGAATGCTTTCTGTCTGACACAACTGAGAGTGCCCTCCTATTGTTATAAAATCCTGGTAAAGTGCATTACTTAAAAACATGTTTTGTTACATTTTTGACATCCACAGTATTTGATCCCAGTTGAAGGACTCCTTGAAAAGCCTGTCCTGTCCTAACATGTCCCAGCAGAATCTAGGGACAGGTTCTGTACTGTACGTGTGGGTTCACCCTGTGTCTCTGTGCCTTCTGCAGCCTGCTCCTCAGGGTACTGGGGTCCTGACTGCATCCACACCTGCAACTGTCACAATGGAGCCCTGTGCAGCGCCTATGATGGGGAATGCAAATGCAGCCCTGGCTGGACCGGTCTGTACTGCACTCAGCGTGAGTCTCTCTCGCTCGCTCTCTAACTTGTGCGCACAAGCACTGACATCTGCTGGCAGCCCCTGGCACTGCAGCGGCAGTACCTATGGAAATGTGGATGTTTTAGATGTGGAATTCTCTCACTTCTTTTGTTTTCAACTTGTTTGTTATTAAATTAAATTGTGATACCCTTCTCACATCCAGCAAAGCTTGTTCTAATTTTCTTTGTGATGTCAACATCTTGAGAAGAATATCCAAGATGAACCAGCATGTATTTCTGGACGCTCTGAGAAAACCTGCCTCTCACGTTCCCCTGTCTCTCTCAGGGTGCCCCATGGGATTTTTTGGTAGGGACTGTGGAGAGGTGTGCAGATGTCAGAATGGCGCAGACTGCGACCACATCACAGGGCAGTGTACCTGCCGCACTGGTTTCATCGGGACCCACTGTGAGCAGAGTGAGTGCGGCCCACTGCATCCCAGCGTCCCACTGGCCTGGATTAAATCTGTCACCTGTGGCCTCTGCCTGTGAAGAATAAGCTATTTCTCGAATGCTTCATCCTTTCGGGGTCCTGCATAATAATGACTGAATTAAAAAGGAAGGTAAATGATGAACACAGGCTGCGCAGTGGCTCAAGGGTTAGCATTGCTGCCTCACAGCGGGTCCTGAGTGCACTTCCTGCAGTGCTGTCTGTGTGGAGTTTGTATGCTCTCCTGGCTTCCTCCGGGTGCTCCAGTTTCCTCCCACAGCCTAAAGGCATACTGGTAGGTGGATGGGCTTCTGTAAAACTGGCCCTGGTGCGAGAGTGTGCGTGTTTGTTTCTGATGGCCTTTCCAGTGCTATTCGGGGTAGACGGACCATGATCCTGAATTGGATAAGTGGATATTGAAGGTGGCGATGATAAGTGCCAAACACCATCAGACAATTTCCGTGTACGTCTCTGAGCATGTTTCTTTCACTAGCATGTCTGCGAAAGCTTGCCTTGTTCTTCCCTGTGGGCTATAACGTGCAGCCTAGAGGAGAGGGAGATGTAGAAAACCTGCAGTAAGTAATTGCAGACGACTTGAGCTGAACCAGTAAAACAACGAGCAGCGCTCGGAAATGATGAAAACAGCGCCCGCCTCCTCCCAGAGCACCTGTGTGACCTCTTTCTCCGCGTCTCTCGCAGAGTGCCCGCCTGGCACCTTCGGCTACGGGTGTCAGCAGCTGTGTGAGTGCATGAACAATGCCACCTGCGACCACGTGACAGGGACCTGCTACTGCAGCCCCGGCTACAAGGGCATCCGCTGCGACCAGGGTGAGGGGGAGCAGGGGGAGCAGGGGGCCAGACGATGAAGGCTGAGATCCCTATAGTGGGCTTCACGTTGCATCCTCGTGTGGTCTGATCACCCTTTGCATCTTTATTCGCGGATATTTTAGGGTTTTCTTGCCTGTCTCTGTACTCTGTTTGAACCTGGATAAAATCTCTTTCTTTAGCTTGCTCCTTTTTATCCGTTGAGCTGTCACAGCAGCTCTGACCCCTGCAGTCGCTCTCTTCTTCCCCCCTCTCTCCTCTGGGGTGCCTCTCTCTCTCCTTCTCCTTCTCAGCCAATACTGTCTTCACCCTGGCTAGTTGCTGTTTCTCTCCACAAACCTCTATTCAATTCAATTCAAGGTGCTTTATTAGCAGGACCGGCGGGTACAATCAGTGTTGCCAAAGCAAATAAAAATAGTAAAATTAACATGAAACAAAACAAAGATAAAAGTAAAATAAAATCTGCAGACATTTTACAACAAAGGCATATAAAAAATAATCTTCTATCTCCTCTCTTCTCCTCTCTTCTATCTCTTCCTCTATCTCTCCCTACACACAATATTCATAAAAGGTTGAAACGTCTATAGACATACATGCTAATCCTTAGTGTGAGTGAAGGACAATGTGCTGACTGTGAGCATCTCTCCTCTCCGCTGTTCCCTGAGCAGCGGCCCTGATGATGGAGGAACTGAACCCCTACACTAAGATCAGCCCAGCGCTGGCGTCGGAGCGGCACTCCGTGGGCGCAGTGGTGGGCATCATAGTACTGCTTCTGATCATCATGGCACTGCTCAGCCTGTTCGCCTGGTACCGCCAGAGACAGAAGGAGAAGGGTCACGACATGCCCAGTGTCTCCTACACGCCAGGCCTCCGCATGACCAACACGGACTACTCCCTCTCTGGTAAGGGTGCCTGGCACCACCCCTCAGTGCCCCGCGCCCTGCCCGTCTCGCCAGTACAAACAGGGAAATGGAAGGGTCTGCAACAACAAGAGAGCATGAAGAGGTCGAGAATAAATACAGGAAGTGAAGTCTTGGGCAGGTTTGGGCAGTCCTGGTGCTGGGGGGCTGGTGTGTTCATAGGTTTTCTAGGTCTTTTCAAAGCAGAAGCACCAGAGGAGCTGGGAGAAGCTGTTAAACTGGTGTCATTGAGCCGATAATTAAGCTGATGTAGCTTATTAAGAGTGGAGTTGGTAACGAAAACCTGCAGAATCACCAGCCCTACTGGAAAAGATTTAGACACCCCTGGTCTAAGTTGAGGAATTGTGGGACACAAAAGACATAAAGGCTATTAATAAGCACACAAGAATGTCTAAAATAATGACTTAAGAAAATAAGATGATTTAGTGTGGTGAGCCGTCAGTCAGATCTCACTATTTTTCTATACACTCATCTTTATCGCTGTGTCAGGCTGAAGTTTGAAAGATCTCAGTATCTGGGTTTGCACAACACGGCTCACACTGGCCACATGGTGGCAGCACAGCACATCCCACTGATCAGTGGCTCCCATTTCAGAGGGGCACTGGTCGCTTCTCCTCCTGCCGTCAAGACAAGCCCACTCACCGTTCTCTTTCAGTGTCGCACCTGTCCTTCCTGTCTTATGAGGAATATGTTCTGTGATGAGTGGTGTCTCTAATCCTCTATTTCACAGGGACGTTGGGTGGGGTTCTCACCTTTTTATCTGCAGCAGCTGAAGGAACAGCCTTTCTCTCAGCCTGTCAAACTCTTTTGCTTTCTGCTCTGTGTTTCTGTCTGCCAGTGGACTCCTCTGGCTTCCAGCTGAGGGGGAAAGACTGCTGTGCAGAGAGGAATCCCTAACTGCAGCGGTCTTCCAGCGTCCTGTCCTAGCTGGAGTTGTGTAACAGTCAATGGTGTTTTCTTGCACAGATTGATGTGTTCACTCATGAAATTGAAAGCTGCTCTGGCTGTTGCTCATACAGCAGAATGAGACCTTCCTCCAGGGAGGGAGACAGTGTGTGTGTGTTTTCCCCTACTGTGCTGACTTGCTCTCTCCTCAGACACCTCTCACAGCAGTGGCAGTGGCCACTGTTTCTCCAACCCCAGCTACCACACCCTGGCACAGTGTGGCACGGCCTCCCGCCTCTCCAATGACCTGGACTCCAGCTCCTCTGCCAAGGTAATCGGCATATAAATAATGAATTGTGATTAGATTTATACTTACTACTACTAATTTAATATATAACATTTGTATAATATTATAATATATTGATTTATTTTTATTATTGTTGTTGTTGTTGTTATTTTGAACATATCTGCCCTCTGGTGGTCAAGTTGACAAACTGCATCATGGAGAGTTAGTGCCCTGCTGGCACATCCCACATGCAGCATTGCTCTGTGCAGATGTATGTACAGTATATGCATGTAGTTAACGCAATCAATCATTCAAATATCAGGATTGCCATATAAAAATAACTATTTCTGGTGTCATCTCCATTTTGTGATGACTGTAAGTGTTCCTAGTGAAGAAATGGTGTTGTTTCGTGAGGGCTGGTGCAGTGCTGAAGTGTATTCCAGATCCCCCTGAGACTGGAGCTGTGTCTCTCCATGCTGCCCCCCTCACTCCTCTCTCTTCCACAGCTGAAGAACAAGAAGCCAGGGGGAGAGAGTGCTGACTGGAGACCGTACTGCAACCTCAACGATTTAGGTCAGTGCCGCTGCCCCAGCCTGCACACACGCGCCTGGCAACCACTGGTTAATACACCTCCTCCTCTTGTGCTCTGGTTTGGGTTTTAAATGTTCTGTTAATGGCTTTTTAATGACAGCAGCTGTAATTAATAAGATTTTTCTTTTAGATGTGTTTGCTTGCTCAGCTTCTTTTAATGAAGCATAACAACATAAGATGTGATGTGAAGTGAAACTTCATGTTCTGTGGGTTTTTTGTGAAGGTCTCTGAGCACAAGCTACATGTAACACCTTTTAAATGCCTGTCAGTGCAGTGCAGGGGAAGCAGCCTGTTTGAGTTGATAAGTCTTGCAGAGTCGGTCTTCGGTATCAATGGTACCACTGTGCGATAGACTAATTTTATCCCTTTTTGCATTAATGAAGAATTTCAGCAGGATAGATAAGACGGGGGCGGAGATGAAACTTGGCCATTATTAGCTCATTAAGAGGAACTGCAGGGACAGCAGCTGACTGCTTCAAAAAAAGTCATTGATCCAGAGCAAAAGTGTTTTCTGAACATTAAGAGGTCCAGACTTGGCAGCACATTGTGGAGGCCAGAAAAATAGAAGTACGGTGCATTTATCAGTCACTTAGACAGATGAATTAGTTTAAAAAGGTATTTATTTGTTGTAGATTTGACTTGAACCTGCTTGACCGCAGGAAAGGGAGTTCCGGTCTGCGCTGGCCCTTCAGGGTGGCGTTGTGTGACAAAGAGACAGACAGTCTGTGGCTCCCGTGCTTGCTGAATTCAGGGCTCTTATTTCTGATGGGAAATTATTTCTGTTCTCGGAGTATTGTTCTACAGACAGGAGTAGAGCACAGGTCAGGGGAAAGCCGTGAGGAGGATGGGCACAAATGCCAAAAAATATGCAAAAGAACTGATAACGTTTTGAAATGGTCTGCCGCAGCTCAAGCGCTATGCAAAACCCCCAGAGGCCTTTTTTGTTCTGACTGATAGAATTAATTAGTTTTTTGTCTTTTTTTCATGTGCGACTCTTGAAATGACGGGCCAGTATAAAACATTCACAAGCCTGTGAAACCTGTCGTATAACAGAGAGGGAAAGCACAAATGAGTTGTGTAGCTCAGCATTGATCATGTTACTCCTGAAGCTCTTAACAACGACTGTCTTTGGTAGCCTCACCCCCTGCAGAGCTGGAGCGCAGGCATGTAACGAGGGAAAAGCCAAATCAAAAGAGATGAGATAAAATAAGCTTAATTAGTGGGATAAGTCCTCAAGACTTTTTCTGCCTATTCTGCGGTCAGATAAAATCTGCAATTCCTAAACACTATTAAATAAGATATGAAAGTATTTCTTCTTCTTCTCTGCACTAACATTCTCTTGCTATAAAACCTGTACCTTTTAATGTCTACAATCCCTTCATTATTTGTATTTATAAATACAGAAGATTAGAGAATATGGGAAATACTGAGAAAAAAAGCTCTGACACTAAGTATGTTACCACAATAAAACATTAAAACTTTTCAGTTCATTCTCCCAGTTTTTGGCCACTTTGTTGTGAGCCTGTCGGTGGCTATAGCTGTAGAGGTGTGGAGGTGTGGGTGATCCACTCCAGTAACGATCCAGAGCTCCAAGGATCTGACCTAAGTTCCAGAGCGAGCGCCTGCGTCGGGATAGCCGGGTTCCAGAGCGAGGGCCTGCATTGAGAGAGCGGGGTTCCAGATCGAGCACCTGCACGGGGATAACGGGGTTCCAGAGCGAATGCCTGTGGCGG